CAGGATCAGCTGCTGTGGCTTTCATGAGCTACAACACGATGGAGAATCTACTGAAGCCAGACTTCTTCAACACATCAAACAACACGATTAAAACCATGATGTCCACTGTGATCTCAGCTACTCTTCCCAAAACCACCAACACTAAACTCACCAAACCAGTCAACTTCACCCTGAAACACATCAGAGTGAGAGACTGAAATGTGTTTTTGTCAAACCTGAGAACTGACGAACATCTGGAAACATCTAATATTCAGTGTTTTATTATTTTCTTCTTCTTTTGCAGGAGTTTGATCCAAACGGTTCTCTGTCCTGTGTGTACTGGAATATCAGCGAGTGGATTGTAGATGGTTGTTCTGTTTTAAAGACCAACAGCAGCTACACCGTGTGTTCCTGTGATCATCTGTCCACATTCGCTCTTGTGCAAATCAGTCGCCCACCAGAGGTATGAAAGAGAACGTCAAACCTCCTCAAAAAAATCTGAAGCACTGAATGCACTAGCATAATTCAAATTCAGTCTACAGTAGATGATCAACTCTGACATGTTTTCTCAGAGCGACTCACAGCTGGAGCTGTTGACTTTGGTGTGTGTGATCGTGGGACTGGTGTTCTTCAGTTTGGCCCTGTTGGCTTTTGTCCTTTATAAATGGAGTCCTGTGCGTGATTGGATACATGGTTCCGTTGTGCTGGTTCCTAAAGGCTACAACAGGGAAGAGTGAGTTTTTGTTGTTGTTGTTTATTTGTTTAGAAGGAAATAAAACAGCTCGGGGCTTATGTTACATTTCTGCTATCTGATAAAATTACAGTGTAATGTACCAATTAAAAAAAGTCACCTCCTGTAATACTATTTCTACTAGGCTATTTATGGTTTTTGGTTGCTCCTGGATTCTGAGTTTCTTCACTAATGGCATTCATGTGCTGGAGATCCTCTTCCTGATCTTAAACTCTAATTTTTCCTGATTCATTGTGTTGTCAACAATGAGGTCAGACATTTATTCAGTTTACCACCGTATTCCATGAGAAATCCAGACATGTGGTCCTGAGTTCCTGTTCTTATTTTGGTAATCTGTGACTTTTAGAGAAGAATTTCAGAGGCAGTCTGTTACTTTTCCATTTGATGACAGAATGTTCAAATTATACAACACTTTTTAAACTCCAACTGTCAAAAATTAAAATTTAATCGGACACAGATCTGTTGATCTGCTGTCTGTCTGACTGTTTGTCTGCATAACATCCTTTTAAACTCCAAACTTTTAAAACTACTTTAAACTTTTAGGCCCGGCTTTGTCAAGCCAACATTAGAATTTAAAATCTTGATCTCATGAAGTCACTCTTGTCTCATTCTTGTCCAGGTTACGCTGCAGTACACAAAGTGCTTCAGATGTCTCTGCTGTGGACTCAACAAAATCAAAAGTGTCTCAAAAAACACTGAAGACCACAACATCATTTTAAACCTAGAATGCATGAACCAAAAAAGAAAAAAGAAAAAAAATGCATAAAGGGGGTGAAAATGGCCCATATTGGAATAAAAAAGGTGTCCTATTAATGAAATAATTAAAATAATTGATGATACGCAAGTATTTTAATATAGCAAACATGTTTATTAGTCCACTTTTCTATTTGCATTACAAAAGATTACATTTATTCTTTTTAAAATGCTCTTGTACCTTTTTCTACAACTCCAAACTAATTTAGATCTACTGTATATTCCCGACTGAACCTTCACTCCCCACATTTCTCACAGACCATGTAAAAATGATCAGGCAGAGTCAGAAAATTTCACATCAGATTTGCACCTTTCTAAGCATATCTTTTGGGCAGAGTTTGAACCTCTTCCTTTGTTTGGGCCTTCAGCTGTCCTTTGCTGTGGCCTTTATCCTTTATCCCCTTTATGCATTCAAGGGTTCAGGAAATAGAAAGTACCATTATTATACAGGTGATTTTATATAACAGAATCAATGTTTTTGGATGTTAAATGTCATAATGCCAATTCACATTGCAATGACAGACGCAGACCGTGATGTGGACAATCACCAGATTACAGTACCTCACTCCTCAGACGTTCCATGACCCGACAAACATTTGATTCAGCATGTTCAGTCGGCAAAAACAAGAACCGACCAACATCAACAGATGCCGACAGGAGTAACACACTGATCAGACAATTCCAATTAACATTTCTGTTGCCATCTGTTGGTTCAGTGTAAATTGGCATATAGTATCAGCTTCTTTCTGCAAATGATATTAAAATATGATATACAAGTTTCTTAATATCACGGCTGCCGATACTACTGATGTAAAATAAGTAACTCTATTTTAATTGCACTCAAGATTTTTTTGGTGGAGGGCAAAAATATTTTTAGTTTCTTTGTAAATTTTAGTTTTTGTTACTTAATATCACAGCTGAATAAGGAATTAATACTAGTTAAAAAAATAAAAATACAACTGTTAAACTACAATTATATATAATTCTAACTGCTTTAATTTGTTTAAAGAAATAATATTTTTTATTTTGTCAAGCTCAGACAACTGTTCATTAGATGACTGTTCCTCTGTAAAAACATGTTATGCGAGTGTCTTATTTTATTGCTGTAATACTATTGATGTAAACCTCATAATCTATTTTATTTAGTCTTTTTTTTTTTAACATGTAGGATTTTCTTGGTGGAGGGAAAAAAGCTTTTTTTTTTACAGATTCCTCAGAATAATCAAACTTAAATGATTTCAAGTAAATGTTGCCAAATGGAAAACCTAAAAACTATTTCATGTATGCATGGTAAAGGGAAATTAATTAACATTGTATGGCATCATCGTTTTTTAGTTGCAAAGTTATGAATTTGTAAATCTTGCACAATTAAATTTTTCTTTATTGAGCTCAGAAAGCTGACTGTTTCTTCTGTAAGGAAAAGGTTTACAGTATATTACTTTATTTATATGCCTCATACAACATATAAATATATTTTTCAGGATGGAGGGCCACAGGTCTTATGGGTTTTGTTATATACAGTACATTTAAAACTAAACTCTTAAAATAACTAAAAGAACAGCCGATGTCACAATTAAAGTGAATCTTTATTGTCATGTGTCTTGAGTTTTTTTTTTTTTAATGACTAGATTTTCCTGTATTATTTTAATGCATTTTTGTTACAAATATCTCAATAAACAAAATAATAAATGATAATAATAACTGTATTTGTAAACATGTCTTTTCCCCCATGTCCACAAATGAAAAAAGCTCCATAACAGACTGACCCTGATTTCAGAGGAATACCTCAGTTTGAAATCATGCCATCTTCCACAGCATTTCTGTATTTAAACATAGATAACCCTTAGAACTGTATGTGTACATTTTCTGTTATTTTTTACAACATTAGTCAATAAACAGTGTTTGAGGGATGGATGAGACTCGAAATGTCCATTTTATTGAGGAAGTTAAGAGGGGAATGTTGGGAAGCTGAGAGAAAAAAAAAACAAAAACTAGTGATCAATTTCTACCAAGAAATTTGTCCTCTGAACTGGTTTGTGGATAAAGAGAAATACACTTGACTGTCAAATGTGACGACAGCTTCCACCTTTCATAAAAATAAGTATTTTTCTTGTCTTTAAATATTGGTTCTTATTTCCTCAAAAACATTTATAATTGATTTGCGGTCAGATGTAGGGTTGGGAATCAAAAATCGAATCAAATCCTGAAATTGGATACTTAAGGTCAGAAATCTTATATAGATTCCTGTGTGCACATTTTAATATGATTTCAAACCAGTGCCAGTATTAGACTTCTGGCGGCCCTAAGCAAAACTTTGTCCGGGGGACCTTGTCAGTGTGTTCAAAAAGTTCCAAAATGACGCATGACCCCTTAATCTGTTCTTTCAGATCAGTTTAACTGTCAACAAACAGTAATAAAAAAGAAGAATTTGCAAACAATATGACAAATACAATAGCAAAAGATGCAAATGAAATAATGTTGCCTACTATACAGAAATTAAATAATTGAATAGTCGAATGTAAATCAAAAATAAAACACGTAGTCTGTGCATAGTCTTTACTGCATTAATTAAATATACATTGATTCTTATCAAAGATACTAAAGTTATTCAGAGAAGAGCAGTTAATGATTCTCTCATTTTCTTAATGACAGAGACAGCAGTAGGTTTATTAGGCTGCTGTCACTCTTATTTACCATATAAAGCTCGACTGTGATTTCAGAGTCAGACCTTTGGAGGATGTTTTCAAAATCTTCTTGAGCAGATCGAGAACATCACACTGCTTCCTTTGAATGTAAGTCCTCAGGAGAAAAATTATAAAATAATCAAATCGGTGTTATATTATCGGTCAATAATTGATGTGGCAGTATGGGCTCTGTTGATATTTCTTTGTGCAATAACTGTATTTTTTCTAATTAATAAATTAGACTGTGAAAAACATTTTGAATATGGTCTTCAACACTTCAGAGAAGATTTTAGAGTCATCTTCATCAGAAAACCCAACTGAACTAGCCTCCTATGGAAACCGTGTGTTAAAAACTAGTGAGAAACTCATTTCTACATTAGTGAAGCCGACAGACACAAGTGACAGAGTCAGTTTTACTCTTGCTGCTGTAGGTAAGTGAAGACATAATTATTATTGATAATGAAACTCAGATTATATATGATGTCCGTGACTTTATTTAGTCTAGAGAGCAGCGGTGGGACAGACAGCAGCAAATGCAGCTACAGTAATTGAATTGAATTGAATTTAATTTAATTGTGTAGAGTTATAAACTTTTATGAGAGAGCAGAAATCCTGTCATGTGGACAAGGACAGGTTGTGTCTTAAAGAAAAAAAAAAGAAAAAAAATGCAACATTTAACACAGGTTAACTTACAGTGAAAAGTTCATGGCACAATATGTTGGTGAATATTTGCTGCCTTGAGCATTAAACAATCAACAATAAAATAAAAACAAAAAATCAGTGCAGTTTATGGTGGTAATCAGTTACAGTGTTGGATTTTAAGGACATTTCGCACATTTGAGATTTGCCGCACTTGAGTACTTCAGTGTACAGTATACTGATATCTGATCTTTGACCACAGATGACCTAATAGTTAATAGCCCTTTCATTTACATCTATGCAGTTAGCAGATTAAAATTTGACATGAAGGGTTTAAACTACATCAGAGAAATTACAACAATAGTCAATAGTCATTTTCTTTGTCTTGTGTGCAAATTGAATGATTGAATTGGACTTTCATAAAAAGAGACAAACATAAATTACTATAGCACATAACTGCTTGTTTGTGTTTAATCAGAGGGTCAAGTCTTCATGGTTGGACCACAGGTCACCTTCGATAAAATCCCTCGACTTGACACGACAAATTCTTCTGTGGACATCGATCTCATTGGGATCGCCAGGAACAACAATGGAAGTATGTCAAATGTTTAAAAAAATCATAGAGACGTCATACCATTACCACTAAACCACATTCATTGCTGTATTTACATAGTGTTTTATGTAAGTTTCTGTTTCTGTCACACAGGATCAGCTGCAGTGGCTTTCATGAGCTACAACACGATGGAGAATCTACTGAAGCCAGACTTCTTCAACACATCAAACACGATTAAAACCATGATGTCCACTGTGATCTCAGCTACTCTTCCCAAAACCACCAACACTAAACTCACCAAACCAGTCAACTTCACCCTGAAACACATCAGAGTGAGAGACGGAAATGTATTTGTCCAACCTGAGAACTGATGAACATCTGGAAACATCTGAACATGTTTAATGTTCTAATATTTCCTGCATCTTTGTTCTTCTTCTTCCAGGAGTTTGATCCCAGTGGTTCTCTGTCCTGTGTGTACTGGAATAGCGAGCCCGGTCTCATGAAAATGCATATAAATAGTACGCCAAATAAAAACGAAA